TGAGTTGGTTTGGCTTAGGCATTAGACCATGCGTTAACACCGCCTGCCATTATTATARGCGATTTGCCTCTGGTTTCTAAGAATAATTCAAGGAGGAAGTCTTCAAATTCTCTAACGGACGCGCTGGGGCGAGTATAGCAGCTTACAGAATAAATTCCTCCTATTTGCGAAYATGTAAAGCCATTTTTGCTCCCTGCAGCAAGACATGAATATTTGCCCATTTTGGACCATATTGCTGCTTTGCTGCTTCTATCTGTAATCCAAGTACTTTCCGAACGTTGGGAATATTGCTCATTTAAAAAGGCGACATCAATGTTGCTTTTTATTATGGTTTGTTGCTGCAAGGCTTGGGCTACAGCGTAGTGGTTTAGGTGGTGAGTGTGGTGAATGTTGCGTGAAAGTGTTGTGAGCTTAAGCTGATGTTGTGTACAAGTATGGTATGTTTGTGGATGTCGGGGGAGCGTGCTCATTTATATAATGTGGTTTCTGCATCTTTTCAAGGTGTGCGAGCATTTTTATAAGAGCGGTTATAGAAGTATTGTAAGACAAYAAACAAAAAGACTTTGCGAATTTAAAACTGGCTAAAAGACGTTAYTTTTCATCGATGCTCATTTCATTTGCTCTTTCCCGAACAGCGTGACAACACTGTTTTGCAAAGTGTTTTTTAGCCAGTGTTGAATTCGCAAAGTTTCTTTTGCTTGTTGTGCCTTTATACCGACTCTTAAACCCAGACTTGAAGAGATGCAGAAACAATATTAAGGAAATCATCACACTGAAATATAAGTAGCRTTTATGAGGCCGTTAAAACTTTTTCTTTTAAAATATCTTGCAAAGTGCAGTTTATTTTGATGAACATCTTTATGTACTTGATTCGTTATTTATTTTTTTCCTCAGTTTTAAAGTTCAGTCTAACTTACTAACCTTTGGTAACCTAATGAGTCTGATCAACTTAATCGAAATCCGTGCATGGTGGCACTGGCGCTAAGTTATATATACAATTACATTAACTATTTAAACTACAATGATCTGGATTGTAACTTTGTCACATCGAAAGCTYAATATACAAAGTCCTCCGCTCAGCTCCAAGTTTAAAATGGATATTTGATTTGTTGACATGTTGAGAATTTTAAAACCAGTATACCATTACATAAAAGCGGCAACATTCCAACCGATGTTCCGATGATTGAGTTATAACCAGGCTTCAACTTACTGCACGGAAAACGTCAAAACTTCGACTGATGACATAAAAACAATTTTCCTAATATAATACGAGTAWAATAGTCAAATCGACCAGATAAAAGGAATGAAAACAGTGCAAATGAGACAAATTTATCTCAAAAATGTGGCAAGTTGCTAGTCACACAGTTGCGCACATTAGATTTGAAGGCGTCACTTTACTAATAATTACAAACAATTTCACGTTCAKCGATCTGAAGTGTGTTCGTAAGGCAATTCGAAAATGCTGCAGAATTGAGCGAAAGATAATGTGAAAGAAAATGCGTGGAACTCAAATTTAGTATAAAAGTGCAGGTTCACAGTACACTAATCACAGTTCAAATAGATCTAGCACAGCTGTTAATTTAGTTTGAAACAATGGGATCCAAGGTTCGATTGATATATTTATCTTATACTTATGAATTGAAAACTCTCAAACTCTCTGTCTTTTCGGTAGATATTCGCTGCACTGGTATGTTGTATCGCATTGGTGGTGGTCAGTGCCTTACCACACGGTCATCATGGACATCATCATGGAGGTCACAGTGCTTCCAGTCACGCTTCGGTGCATTTAGTCTCACACGACGATCATCACGATGATCACGGTCACCACGGTCATCACGGTCACCACGGTCATCATGGACACGGACATGGACACGATGATGGTCATGACTCACACGCTGAGTATCACTTCAATTACGGCGTTAAGGATACGAAGACGGGTGATATCAAAGAGCAGAGTGAACACCGTGATGGTGATAAGGTGTCCGGACATTATGAACTGATTGAAGCGGACGGCCATAAGAGAACTGTGCACTATACGGCTGACAAGCATAGTGGTTTCCATGCCGTCGTGCACCGTGAGCAGACACACCATCATGTAGCTGATCATGGACACACCAGCTACCATGGTGGACACGCCGAGGTTGAATCGCACGATGATGGTGGGGATGGTGGTCATGGCCACGGTCATGACTCTGGACATGGTCACGATCATGGTCACGGTCATTCCAGCGGCTTCTCAATCAAACAAGACCATGGTGTTGCTATCCATCATCACGGTGGAGATGGTGGGGATGGTGGTCATGGCCACGGTGATGATTCTGGACATGGTCATGGTCA